CGGGCCTTCTGGGTGGCACCACAGAACCATCCTAAACCCTGACCGCAAAGCCCTAAACCACAAGCCCTAAGCCCTAAAACCCCAAACCCTAAACCCTAACCTAAACCCATTTACTGTTCAAAGCTCAAGGCTTGACGAGCATGGTACGGTTACCGCTGAGAGGAGTAGGCCATGTGCAGGCCGGGGTTCAGTTTTAGGTTTACCCATAGGCCCCATAGNNATAGTAGTTCCTTTTTGGGTTTAGGGTTCAGTCTCAGGGTTTAGGGTTCAGGGTTTAGGGTTTAGGGTTTAGGGTTGGGTTCAGGTTTAGGGTTCAATATAGAAGCCTAAGTAATTATTACCAATATGGTTCCTTAGGGGTTCCTTATTTTTATAACTATACTCGAATTTATAACTATGCTATAATGGAGCCCAAATCCCTAGTCAATCTATTAAGGCCCCAGGAGTAGGAGGTTTCAGTGGACTTCCCTGCGTAAGCTTGGCTTCAGTGGCAGACTTGGTGTTCCTGGAGTGTGGGAAGGCTTCTTGGGGTGCTCTAGGTTTAGGGTGTAGGGCTTGTCTTGCGCTCATCGGCTTCTGATGCTTTAAGCAAGCTGCTAGGTTTTGCTAGTATCTTGTTGTGCAAGGTTGGGCGTCTCCTGGCTGGCTTGATCAATGCTGCGTCTCCGCCACAATGGAAGCCTGAAATATAATTACCCATATTGTTCCTTCAGTTCCTTATTGTAACTACACTAGCGACAGCAAGAATGACTATAATGTATCTAACTCGCTGTTTTGGACCCTCGCCCGCATGCAATCTCTCTTGTGAGTTCCCCGCTTGTCCCCTTGAAGTTAAACCCTAAACTCTAAGGCGTACCTTATTTTGGGGCCCTTAAAATAAGGATCCTACCATTTAGGGTGCTATATCAGGGTCCCCTATTTTGGGCAACCACCACTTCGTGCCACGTGTCACGTCTTCGCAGGAGACGCCTTGTTGCCTTTCGTGGCGGCCTTCCAGGAGGTCTCAGTTTTGGCTTTTGGGGTTACAGGGATCTGTTCTGGGTTTAGGGGTTTTTCAGGGGTTCCTTCAAAGCGGTCTGTATGGATTTTGGGGATTAGGGTTTAGGGATTAGGGTTTTGGGGTTTGGGGCTTAGAGATTAGGATGATTAGGGTTTAGGGATTAGTGTGGTATTGGATTTGAGTTTTGTTTCGGAGGGGTTTAGAGTTTAGGGGTTGAGGTTCAGGGTTCAAGGGTTGAGGTGTACGGCATAGGGTTTACCTTCATCCCCGAACACTTAACTTAACTTGGAAGAAGCAATGATGAGCAAGCCCGAGAAGGTAGGTTCTTGTGGCTTACGGTGTGGGTTGAAGAAATAGGCTGGCGGGTCATGTTAAGGAGACCAAGGCATGAAGGCTTAAGACTTAAGGGATTTAGGCTTATGGCTTCTGTCGGGTTTGTTTGACTGGCTGCGAAATGTTCATCGGCAGCACGACCACTATCATTCCGCAACTATTCCTGCTGTTCATGTTCTTACCTAGCTTCTCAGATCACCATCAGCATTCTAGTTCTTTCCCAAACATTTTCGGAAGTTCGTGATTCTTGTTGTCAGTAAGCATCTTTACTCACCCTCCAGCCTTAACCCCAACCACTAGAATTGTCATCAGCAGCACTGGAGTTCTGATCCCACTCATGTCAGAGCTGGTGCGGCGCTTACTGCTACAGATGCTAAGAGCCCCACAGTGTATTCCCGCTTCCATCATGATCACTGCTTGTTTTTAACCTGCTATGGTTTCTTACTACTACATCAGTTCTTCTTTATCTTAATTGTAGGTTCACCTTCGCCATCATCGTGCCTGCGACGGCAGTGTTTAGTCCCCGTTCGAGCACCCGAATCTGTGCTGCATGGCTCCAGCGATGACTGGATGTATCACTTCTTAGACTTTTTTCGGCTTTGCCTGTCTACTCATCTTGCCCAAGCGGCAAACGCTCGAAACCAATAGATTCCCCTTGATTCCCAAGTAAGAACCCATAGCGGCTCTACAGCGCTTGCAAGAAGTGTGTTCTAAACAGACAATAGCGATTGATTGCCGTTCAACATCGGATGGTCTGGGTAAGTTTGGCATGTACAGCGTAGATAGTGACTACTCGTCGTGTCCCTGGCGTGCAGCCTCCCCCGAGCGGCCTCGCCATGTGCAGGTGCTGCAGGAAAAGGAAGACGAGGCGAGAATTCCCATGCAGCATACCCGACATTCTGAGTACAAAGGGTCTCCTCCAACGGGATTCTTCAAAAACCCCGTCACGCCATGAGGCTGCTCACAGTTGTCGCTGGCCGTCGTTGCGTCGATGTAATCCCTCAACTTCAACCCACATCCTACGCCTGAACCCTACACCCTGAACCTTACGCCGTGAGCCCTAAACCCCAAACCCTGCGCACTGAATCAGGGTTTAAGGGAGCCCCACACCCTGAACCTCAAAATCGAGACCCTCAACCGGGGCCTAAACCCTAAACCCAGAACCTTAAACCCTAAACCCTAAACCCCTAAACCCTAAACCCTAAACCCTGAACCTTAAACCCGGAACCAGGGTGAAGGCCAGCCGGGGGACTCACGAGATCATCGAGCTCAGGCCGACGGGGCACCTTAATGGGCCTACGTAAAGGTTGAGGGTTTAGGGTTTAGGGTTTAGGGTTTAGGGGGTTTAGGGGTTTAGGGGTTTAGGGCTTAGGGGTTTAGGGTTTAGGGTTTAGGGTGTAGGGTTTAGGGTGAGGATAAGGTCATAACTAGGATATCCCTAGCCTTCTAAGTAGTACTAGGGAGACCCCTTAAAGGGGACTCTTCTTGACCCCACTTATGGCCCTCTAAAAAGGGACCTTATTGAGAGGGTCTATATCCCCAAAAGTCCCCTTAATCCACCCTAAACCCTAAACCCTAGCTCCTATACCCAGGGCACTTATAACCCCTAATATACCCCCTTAGCTTCTTTGTGACAGGTCGCCTTGATGGGTCTAGGGCTTAGGTTTAGGGTTTAGGGTTTAGGGTTTTAGGGTTTAGGGTTTAGGGTTTAGGGTTTTAGGGTTTAGGTTTAGCTGATATAGGCACAGTTAAGAAAGAACAGGGATCCGCTAAGGGATTCTTGAAAGGGTCCCAGAAGGGATGTATAGTTGGATTCTATGCTCAAGGCACCTTAGTCAAACCGGTTTGTTTAGCGTGCCTGAATATATGGGTAGTTTTCAATATTAGGGTCCTTTTTATAAGGGTGCTGTACTATATTGGGGAGCTAAAAAGGGACCCTAGTTTAGAGAACTACCCGAGTTGTCATCGATGTAACGGCCCTGTGTTTGTTTGCATGTTTCTTAGGGCTTAGTTAGTTATCACAGGGCTTTCTCGTTTTTTTGTTTCTGTAAGAGGGGGTTAGGCTTCATAGAGCTTGTGTAAGGCTTTTTACAGGTTTTAGGGTCTAAAACAAGCCTCAGCTTGCGCTCTTAACCCCTAACTCCCTAAACCCTCGACCCTCCTAAAGCCGCAATGGCTAGGTTCAAAGTCCAAACCCTAAACCCTAAACCCTAAACCTTATGTAGAATAAGAAGCGCCTGGGAGACGAACTGGCACGGTTTAGGGTTTACCCATAGGCCCCATAGTAGTGCGTTTCTGTGGCTTATATTTAGGATCCCATGAGGTAATCCCAAAGAGAACTATTATGGGGCCTATGGGTAGGGTTTAGGGCTCTAGGGTTTACGTGGGCAGCCTTTTACTGTACGGTGCAGGTATCACCTATATACTGGTAGCAGTGAAAGTATTATTTACTAGCTCTCGGATTTCCAACCCTCCTTTCCCCTGCCCAAACTCAAACTCCAAACCCGAAGTGCTAGGGTAAACCCGAAACTTTTCCAAACCCTCCTTACGAGCGTTTCTTTCGTCATTGCAGGCTTTCCCCTAAACCCTAAACCCTAAACCCTAAAACCCTAAACCCTAAAACCCTAAACCCTAAACCATGGCAGGCTTTCATCGCCACGCTGCTCAACTTTATCTGGCCAGCTCCTCAAGTAAAGTCATGGAGCAGGGTCAAGGGCTGAACATGTGGAGGTGCCTTTTTAAAGCTAGTTTAGGGTTTAGGGTTCAGGGCCAAAGTAATTACCAACTAGGGTCCCTTGTTACAACAATACTATAAAGGAGGCCGGAACTTTTAATTCTAATTATGAAGGCCCCTAAGACCTAAACTAAACCCTTATAGTGGCCCTGGTAGAACCCTTCAAGGAACCCTTTGAAGGAAACCCCCCAAACCCTGTTCTAATTATGAAGGCCCCTACAGCGTTAGATTTCAGGGTTAGGCGCCTTACTAGGTTTGGCGCTCCTTTTGGGGGTTTAGGGTTTAGGGTGTTCTTCCAATATTTTTTGTTGGGGGGGGGGGCTAAAGAGGTTCAGGGTAGAGGGGCTCCAGTGGGTGCTGGGGTATAGTATACTGAAACTATTTAGGGACGACGTGGGCATACTGTTGGGAGATATTCGGGGGAGGGTAACATAGAAGTCTGAATTAAGCACTCCCCAACACCCCATTCGAGAGATGAAGGCCCTAAAGTAGGAGTTGAAGTTTGGGGTGGAAAAAATGTGTTGGTCGGATCACCCCCCAAATCCAGCATGAGTCAAACCCGCAACCGAGACACCTAGTCAAAATGCTACCAAAATGGCAGATAAGCTAGGATTCATTTGTTGCCATGGTAAAGCTCCTAAACCCTAAACCCTTAAAGTTGCCGCAAAACAGTAGGTCAATGGGAGACGCGGGCAGGGCTCTTTTCACCAGAATTATCCTAAAACCCTAAATCTCGCATGCTCAGCTCAACCCCGAACCCCTAAACCTCGGAACCCGAACAGCCTGAACACCGACTCCCTGAATGTCGAAAGGCCTAGACTCCTTAGCTCTCTTCAATCAGGGACGTCCCAATGCCCCCTTCTGAGCACCCTCAAAAACCCAAACCCCTCAACCGTCTACCACAAGCCCCAATACCCCATGCTCCTTCAGCTGCCTTAAGCCCCAAAAACCCAAGCAACTTTCCCTTCTGGACCATCTAGTCCGGCTGTAACGTGTCATGTACCTGTGGTACATCCTACTCTTGTTTGGAATGCTTACATGTGCTCCAAGCACGCACAGCGTGCTAATTAGGACGTCGATTTACAGATAGTCTGTTGTCGGGATCCTTGCGATTATCTCGCCCGGATCGTCCGCAGTGACTGCTTGCATAAAATCCTAAACCCCACGCAACCCCTAAACCCTAAACCCCTAAACCCTAAACCCTCAAACCCCAAACCCTAAACCCTGAACCCTAATCCTCTAAACCCTCAACCCTAAACCCCGAGACCTGAAGCCATTCCCAGCTGAGGCTGGAACCGTTTGCGGGGCTGCTGCCGAACCCTCCCAAGGAGGCCGAAGCATGAGTGTAATGTAGCGGCCTTAAGAACGAGAATAGGGGCTTGGGCCCCCGAGTATGTATAGTATACGAAAATTCTTATGAACAACCCTGAGGATGAACATTAGTAACTAATTCTTTAGGCTTCTATATTAAGGGCTTAAGGGATCAGGGGCTCGGGTTCAGGGGTTTAAAAACTAAGGCTAGGGTTTAGGGATTCATCCGGCGGGTGGGGGTTTGGGGTTAGGGTTTAGGGCATAATGGTTTGGGTTTCGGGTGGAGTTTCGTTTTAGGGTGTAGAGTTTAGGTTAGAGACCATAATTAGGGATTAGGGGTTCTAGTCCAGGGCTATAGGCTTTAGGATGTAGTAGCAATTAGTGTTGTCGGGGGCTGGAAGTGCTTCAGAGGCCTCGAAAGCTTAATTCAACACGTTTCGAGCTTGGCGTCAGGGCTTAGGGCCTGGGGGTATCCAAAACCCCGACACACAGTTTCACGAAACTTCGACACAGTGAACCTTCGGGGTCATGGGTAGTTATAAGTAGGGCTATAAGTCCCTTAACATGGGTGATAACTATAGTTACCCTGATTATAACCCCACGTATAACTACCCATGAACCCTAAACCCTAAACCCTAAAACCCTGAACCCTAAACCCTAAACCCTAAACCCTAAACCCTATAGGGCTATAAGTCCCTGAACATGGGTGATAACTATAGTTACCCTAATTATAACCCCACGTATAACTACCCATGAACCCTAAACCCTAAACCCTAAAACCCTAAACCCTGAACCCTAAAACCCTAAACCCTAAACCCTAAACCCTAATTGTAACTTATAACTACACATGAACCTCCAAGTAAGCTTAAGACAGAGTGGCGAAGCAGGGGACGCAGGGAGAAGCCGAGAGATAAAATCCCTTGGCCAGCCACCCCAGAGTTTAGGGTTTAGGGTTTTAGGGGTTTAGGGTTTTAGGGTTTCGAGTTTAGGGTTTAGGGTTTTAGGGGTTTAGGGCTTTGGGTTTAGGGTTTTAGGGTTTCAGGTTTAGGGCTTAGGTTTTTAGGGTTTTAGGGTTTAGGGTTTAGAGTCACCAGAGCCTGGGTTCGCGGTAGTTGCCGGTCGTGCTCACTCAGGCGAGCAGACCTCACACAAAAAGCTAAAGTTTAGGGTTTAGGGTTTAGGGTCGTCTGATCAGTAAGCGCCGCGACAGCGCTGCACCTGTCAAGCCCATGCCGCCAGCTTGCGCAACGAAGCAACGCAATCACTTAACCCTAAGCCCCAAACACAAGCAATCCGAATCCGCACCAGAAATGCCACAGGCTAACAACAAGATGGCAGACTCAAACAAGTGCAGCGGCATGGATGATGTTTGTTGCGACATTGTCGTTTATGTCTGTTGTTGTATATGACCCGTTGCTTTTAAGTATATTTCGCCTCGTGGCATAGCATTGTTGTGGTTGTTGTTGTTGTTGTTGTTGCTGCTGCTGCTCCACCGGCTATCATTGTACCTGTGTGCCCGATCGTATCAGTGTTGCAGCCATACAGAAGAGTCGTAGCATCAGGGTTATGTTGGTGATAACAGCCTTAGCCTTTATCCGTATGACTATGGAGTATACCAACAAGCTGCCGTCTAACCGTGGTTTTACCGAGAGCACCTATACGGACAGGTGCAATACCGGACTGTTTTTGTTTGCAAACGACAGTTCACATACATACACACACATACATACACACACATACATACACACACATACATACACACACATACATACATACATACATACATACATACATACATACATACATACATTACATACATACATATTACACTACACACAGACATACACGCATACACACATACATACATACATACATACATACATACATACATACGTACATGCATACATACACACACATACATACATACATACATACATACATACATACATACATACAGATATATCTGTAAACACATACACACGTAATAATTTTGTATATGCATACCACCATTCAGTACGTTTTCACCGCGTGTGCATATACATACGAACTGCTGTCTATGTATGCATGGCCATGTTGGCTATACATACGCGGTCAGTGGAGTCTCGTCACCTCTAGAATATGTTTTGAGATGTTAACATGTATGTATATATATATATACATATGTACATAAATACGCACCTACATACATACTACATACGTACATGCAGACATACCTACATGTATCTGTGTATATGCACACGAAGCACAGATAAGTAAGCACACAAATCTTAAGTAAGTAAATACCAACATGCGTATATATATATATACACACACAAGAATTTGTATGTCTATGTATGCGTACGTATATATATATATATATATGTATATATGTATATATGCATGTATACATTTATACCTGATACGTTTGTATGTGTATGTATATGTGTGTGTATATATACCTGTATATATTAAACCAACCCTAAACCCAAAAAGCCCTAAACCCCAGATCCCTAAAGCCTTATACAACCCTAAAGCCCAGAAGCCCTACACCCTAAAGCCCTCGACTCCAGGACCCAAAAGCCCTCAACCCCAAATCCCATAAACCCTCAGTCCAAACCCTATGTGCACAGCAACAACAGGTGTTGCACTTGAACCCCAAACCCTAAACCCTAAACCTTAGAACCCTAAACCCCAAACCCTAAACCCCAAACCCCAAACCCTAAACGCCAAACCCCAAACCCCAAACCCTAGAACCCGAAACCCACCCCTGGGCCGGCCTTTCGGCCACAGAGCTCGATCTCGACCTTTTTG